CCCATGGGCAGAGATGAACCTGCATTTACAGAGATACAACTTCTAGTACACTGACAATTTTTTTTAACAGATAAAAACACATTTGCATTATCAAAATCTTACAGAACATACCCTAAACCAAAATTAGAGCACACAGACACCCAGTAGCAAGAGCACCTCAATCATAGGTAAGTGAATTGTGTGAAATATGGAGCACTTGCTCCAGGTTCCCAAGTGCAGGAAACTGCCCTTTTCTCACAAGGATGGTGAAGAACAAAGAATATTCCTCCTTCCAAAGCTCAAGTCCCATTAGGGGGCCACAGGTTAATCATTTGGGTGGGCCTTTGGCCCCAAGTCTGGGCATCCCTTATGGAAAATCCCAGTTGATTCCAATGGGTCTTCACCACCTTTTACACATTCATCTGTCTTGGGCTAGTAAAGTGCAATACATCATGTACCCTATCCTTTCCCTCTCTGCTCCTTTGTTAGGCCTATGGGTAAGGCCCCAATAGAGGCAGAGGTCTCTTAGTTATCTGATTAACCCAGGTATCTTTTCCATTCTGAGAGAGCTTCCAAAATTTAACTGTGGCCTCTCTCACAAGTACATGGTATCTATTATGACCTGGAACCAAATATAAAGGTGCAGAGAAAGATAAAGCTATCAGAACACATTATATCTATACATATATAATTCAATTTTGAAACATGGATACAAATACTCATTTACAATATATTTTAACCTTCTGCCTTAAACCCCAGAGAGCTTTTTGTTTTGTCCAAAGTGGGCAGAAATGAGGATTTCTGCCTTCTGTCTCTTTAGTGCAAAATCTAGTCCTTTAAACGCTCCCCTTCTCAGCAAGGGCTTCACATCTTCAGATAAGATAACATGGGCACTAGCAAACACAGCGGCCAAGACAGCTCCATTTCCAGCCATGCAATAGTGGAGCTTTAAGAATTTGCTCAACAACTACAAGAGAAAAAGAAAGCTAGTTCTGCTTATAAAATCACTTAGTGAAGGACTTATAATCCTTTTTTTTTTCCAAAATTATCTTCACTTTTATAAACATGTATATTGTTGGGTAAAACCCACAAAACTCTTATATAAGTCAGTCAACAACAAAAGTCCTTTAGTCTGTCTTTGGATAGTTTACCAAAGAGGCACTAATGCTTGCTCCCTCCCTGCTCTTAAAATGTTGGTATCTTAGCAGATACAGTGTAATCTTTGGTTACATAATGTGATGCTTTCATCTCTTTGTCTTTTTTGAGGAAAAAAAAAAAAAAAAGAAAAACTACTTTCAAAGATTTTCAAAGAGATTAGTGGTAAGAAACAGACCTGCCTAGAAAAAGCAGCAGGGGTAGAAACTTCCTTTTATAAGAAAATGCACATGCTAAATGGCTTATTTTGACTTTAAGTTTGGGATTTGATCCTGTGCTTTAGCATTCCTGGCTTCCATGATCCTTTACAAGGGTTGAGCACAAAGGCCACTTCTTTGGCCCAGTGCCCTCTCACCTGGGCAAATGGCACAAGATAATTGGTAGTTGGCCTCTTGTTTTCCCAGGGCCATGCAGGGATAGTTACAGGACTGTCTTGAGAGAGTCTCATGAAGTGCAACCCTGGCACAGGGCTGCAAAGGGGTAAAAGGGAGTGGCTTGGGCTTTTGAACCTTGCAGAATATCAAGGAGCAAAGAGGGCAAGGCCAGGTCTGTGCTGTGGCTAATGAAGTGTAGTGTCGGTATCATGTGGATGATGAAACTATTTTCTCCTAAAGTGCAAATAGAATACTTCTTGCTATATATGCATATATGTATTTAAAAGTAGAGTATGGACAGAGAGGGACTCTAGCATCAGCACATTATTTCTCAACCTGGAATCACTTCAGCAACTACCCAAAGGACAGAGTGAAGCATTATTTCTTCTTTTTTAGTTCCAGCGAACATATATAAAAATATATGTATTACTGATTTTCTTTTTTCAAAGATATGTGACAGAATCCTTCAAAAACTTTCATTCTCTTTTGAAAAATAATTAACTCTCCAAGAACAATGATACTGTCTGTGGCACAGAACAGCTATGGAAACAAAGAACTCAACCCCAATTTCAGCTCAGAGGCCAGGCCTGGGATCGCTGTGCAATGAACAAGAGCTGAAACTGCCACACTACTCTTTTCTTTGACCACAGATTTTGTGACCCTGATAGCTGTCTGCTGCCTAGTACAGATGGGGCCTTCTCCCTGATGTTCCTTCTTTTTCTCTTCCTCACTCCACTGTCATCATGCACTGCAAACCTCTTTGGAGACAGTTACCATGACTTCTCTGATGAGTTATTCTCATCTTTCAGCTCACTAGGTGAGTGGATCTGGATGGCCCATCCTTCATGGGTGAGCAGAGTGTGCCACACACATCAACTCTGTACAGCAGAGTGCATGCAAAATGAGACTTTTGTCAATTACACTGCTGGGACATCAATGGCCAAAAGAAAAAAAAATCCCCCTTTTATCTGTGGGAGAACAAAGCTAAGCTAAAATCTCCTTCACTCACTGAAACTTCAGTGCAAAAACACTAGGCCTAAGGCCTTGTTTAGGCCATTTTTCACTAGTCTTGCCATTCAGAAATTCAGAGTAATTCAGTTGTTGCTGCTTTTAATTACACTGCTGTTTCACTGATTTTTGGCTTTCAAAAATGCAAAACATATATATTCATAAAGACAAGAGTCACAATTGGGACATCCATAAAGATGAAAAATTTTGAAGTCAGAGAAATAAGAAGAAGAGCATCTAGTATTTACAAGGGGAGGTATTAGAATGATATAATCAAATCCATGTACCACAAAAGATAAAAATCATTTCAAAACAGATGTGAATGAACTATTAAACTATAACCTAGTTTAACTGAAAAGAGTGAAGGATTTTTTTCCTTTAAAACAGCTAAAAGTAATCTTGTGAGCTTATATAAGCCAAATGACGTCATAACAAAGAAAACTAGAATTTGTCTATCCTCCCTCAAAGAGAGAACCTGTCAGCTTTAATTTTGTCCAGCAGTCTTGGACTGGTATATCACCTATCTTAGGTTCCCTTTTCCCTTGTTATTTAAAGAAGCTGTTTTGCAAGTTCATTTGGCTATTAATATCAACACAGAAATCAGAGAAGGAATCCCATGTAGATAATAAGATGTCACTCAGAAACTATCTTCTCAACAAGTAGAGTGAACCAACTGAAATGGGTAGCTTGGTAACTTGCCCCTAATTTCTTAAGTTTAACAGATGACTTTAAGACCTAAGTGAGGAGGCAGTTGCCAAGATGAGAAAGTAGGTGGACATTCCCCCTGAACTCAGGATTAGGGGACAATGTCAACAAAATAGAAGTGTGCCAAAGGACTGTAGGAAATCAGTGTCCCAGGAGCACACCCTGAGTTCATGGATGGCAGCCCATGGGAGCTATGCCAACCAGACCTTTCCAAAATAGGTCATGGTTCTGTAGTGTAAATGTTTCTGCCTTCCTTTGACTGAGAGGCAGCAACAAAGGTGGGGAGTCTGAGTGAGTATGGCTGATGTCAGAGCCCAGAATCAGCAGCAGAGGATGATGATGAGTAAACTGACCAGATGGTGCTCATCTGGCTTTAGATTTCGCCTCTGACAACTTTAATTTAGTAGTCAGTCTCCTTAGTTTCTTCTCTCTTCTTCCCATGACTTCTGCATGTGGATATGCTGGGTGGCAAGGAGAGCATTTACAGGGTTTCTGTTTCTAGTGCCTTCATTCTTCTCACTCTGGTAATTGAGTTTTCTCTTTAACCTTGACCTGTATAGCCCCTTTAGCTGCTCTGAAGGAAGAAGTAGGTATTTCTCCACTTGGTGGGAAAGTATCATCTCTAGGGGAAAAGGGCAAGATGCCCAGCTTGCCCAATCCCATTGATGCCTTCTTTCCAGTTTGTCTAAGGACTCCAGAGATCTGATAGTTGATGAAAGACATTTGGTTAGAAGTCTTTAAGCCTACAGGTGTCTAGAGATAGATGTCAAGACTCTTGGCTTGCTAGCCTTCTTGGTGGTAGGAGCTCTTAGCAGAGAGTCTGTGAATATGCCCAAATAAGTGGGCAAACATCACCACCATGGCTGTAACACAGTCTAGTTAAGTCCAGGCTCACAAAACACTGTAGGGAGAGTAAAAGCGAGCTTGCAGCTGCATGGCATCACACAGAAAAAATTCAGGTATTTTAAAAGTAAGGGCAAAGAGTGATCAAATCTTCAATGTCCTAAGCAGGAAAACCACCAAGCCTTCAATTCCTTTTCCTCTGATTTCAGCCCCATCCTCTTCCCTGACCCACAAATGGGAAAACAGACTTGGATCTGGATAGGGCCTTCCAAAGGGTCAGATCTCTCCTTTCTCTCTTACTGGTCGGACTCTTTAGTTGACAAAGTTTTCACTACAGAGAACATTCAATTCAAAGCTCTTAGAAAGGCTTACTGAAAGTGGAGACAGAGAGTGAGAGAGAAAAAGGATTGGATGTAGGGGAGGTATTCACATGCAGACATGTTTTCAAACAAGAAACACATTTTCAGTACAATGAATTGCACTGCAGTTAAGCAGTCTAGCCATCAGGGGCCAAGGCTGTGGGCAGGTACTGGTGACCTATCTTTCTACTTCCTCCCATCCTCTCTTACATCTGTCTCCCCACCCCCACTACTAACTCATCTTTGGGGTCATTCTGCCCTCTAATGGCAATAGCCATTGGCAGAAAAGAAAGTTTCCCAGGGAGGCCGAATTTGGAAAAAAATCAGTGACTCCCCATGGGCTTGCAATTTTTACCATAGTCTAGTCACTGTTGGTTTCTTTGAGGAATTCTGCTTGCTTATATATTTTTAAGAGGAAAAAACTACAAGGATTTTTGGTTTTAGGGGCATTGTTTGTTTTTGTTTTCCCAGACACTCTTAGCTCTCTAAACTTCCCGTGACATTAGGTGAGTAAACGTTTGTGTGGCTGGCACACAGTGCAGTGCTATAAACAAGCACAAGTTGACACTGGGACACATGAGGATCACCACAGATTTAAAGAAATACAACACCATTCAAAACATAGATAAGAGCCATGGCAGGGAGCAGAGTCTGAAAGAGCCATGGGAGGGTCAGATAGGAAGGGGAAAAAAAGAAAGGAGGAAAATAGGGGGAAAAAGTGCAGCAAATAGAACTCAGGAACATCTTCATGACATACTGAACATCAAAAGAGGAAATTCCCCAAGGCACTGCAGAGAAGTAGTGCAGAGTTGTAACAGGCAAAAGATATCTGAAAAGGGGAGTGGGGTACGGTGAGAATATGGGGGCTTCCAAAGCTTCACTGTGTGTGGAAATAGATGGGCTTGACTTTCCCAGAAAGAATCTTGGGGACTTGCACAGAGATGATTTCTGCCATCATTTCTGGAAAGTCCACGCTCACCATGTGGGACTTGATTAGCAGGTCAAAAGTGAACTGATGCAGCTCTCGTGCAATCTGTTGGGGGAACAATAAGAGGGAGAAAACAGGCTTGAGAAGGAGTTGGCTTGTGACAGGCTCTTCACCCCATCTTTGATTTCCTCCTCCTTCCCTGTCCTTGGTCCTCCCTATGTGTGTATGTGTGTGTGTGTGTGTGTGTGTGTGTGTGTTCACACACATGTACACTAAATGGTCTCCAGGGAGTTACTGAGGGCTTTCAAGAGATCTCTTACACCACTGCAAGCTCTTCAACTCAGGACGGCATGTTCCTTTTCCTCAGCACATGCACTTGAATACGCACACAAACAAACACACACACACACACACTCTTCCTCTCTCTCTCTCTCTCTCTCACACACACACACACACGCACAAACACACAAACATGATTCAAGGAAGAGGGGAAAAACATTCAGGCCTGTTTTGTCTGCCTAGAGAACTTATCTGCTCTAAACTCTTTCCCTGAGTCCCAACTGCTCTGTTCTCAACTCCTCCACCTCTTTCACAATTTCCAGGGGGCATTGTGACCCGTGTTCCTTTCCTATCCATTGCATTTTTTTCCTGGACCACACTCAAAGCCAGAGGGGAATGGAAGCATCTCCTAACAGGTGGTGCCAGATCCTAGAGGAGCATATTATCACTTGGCTCTATCAAGTTACTTCTCCCTGACGAAGCACCCTCCACTGTTTGCTTACAGGTTGCACAGAGTCCAGGAGCTTGGTGAGCTGGTAGAAGCGCCTTGAGCAGGATGTGGGATTTTTTCTCTTGCAAGCAATGATACGATCAAGTTCCTTGATGTAATTCATTCGAAGTTCATCAAAGAATTTTTGATTTTTCAGCCCATCCACTGGAACTGACGTGGGATGAAAACAGAATAGGGAGGGAAGGCATGCCCACAAAGAAGCATTAGACAAAGCACCAAGTTTGCTGGCCACAGATATGACCCCCACCCTCCACAGGGAGGGAACCATCTACTTGGTTTCCTGTCAGTTGAAGTCTGTATGCCTGGGTCCTTCAGTCTGCCAGCAAGTTCACAGAGAAAAGGCTAGCTGGACCCAATCTGAAAGGCATCAAGTAAATACAATTTACTGAGCTTTTCCTTTTTCTAGTCTTCTCATCTACACATTTCTTATGACCCGTGGTTTTATGTTGTCACAGTTCAACTCTGATTTAGACAATTAAAATATATATCTTTGAATATCAAAGTTTGCCTCCTTTTCCCCTCACATGTGCTAAGACAGCATTCTGCTTAGAAGAGACATTAAAGAATGATTACTTGGCTGCCTAATAAATCCTATCTGAGTTGCTTATATAGACCTCCTAGTATTGCTCTGCAATAAATATTAGGTGGTTCTTGCCTGTTTGTATGGCAGATCTATATAAAAGTTCAGAGGCCTGCTACAGCCAGCTCCAAAAGCCTTGTTCCAAAGAAAGACTGGAGTAAGTTGGGATCTAACAAGAGGTTGAGTTCTAGCAAAGACGACTTTCTTTGCTAAGGGAGAGTGGAAGAGGAGGGTGAATGAAGAAGGGAAATGCCTAGGAGCTGGCTTCTAACTCTCTAATCTTTTTAAAAAATGTTTAATGTTTTTAAAATTTATTTTTTTTGTTTAATAGTTTATTGTCAAGTTGGTTTCCATATAACACCCAGTACTCATCCCCACAAGTACCTTCCTCCATGCCCATCACCTCCCTTCCCCTCCTCCCCCATCTGCCCTCAGTTTGTTCTCAGCTTTCAAGAGTCTCTCATGGTTTGCTTCCGTCCCTTTCCCCCACTATTTTTCCCCTTCTTCTCCCCCATGGTCCTCTGTTAAGTTCGTCTTAATCCTCCTATACTTGCAAACATATTTATTTCTGAGAGAGAGAGAGAGAGCAAGCATGAGCAGGGGAGGGTCAGAGAGAGAGGGAGATACAGAATCTGAAGAAGGCATCAGGCTCTGAGCTAGCTATCAGCACAGAGCCCGATGCGGGGCTCGAACCCATGAACCGTGAGATCATGACCTGAGCTGAAGTCAGAGCTTAACCGACTGAGCCACCCAGGCGCCCCTCTGATTATTCTTTAGTGGAAAAAGTAGCTCCCTTCTGAGTCCCTATGACATCAGGAACATTTTTTTTTTTTTTTTTTGGTTTCTCCAGGCACTTACTAATGCTGAATAGCAGCAGTGCCTTCATGCACAAAAACTCTTGGGGGGTGATTTGGAGCCATCCAAATTCTTGAGAGAGGTGCCTCATTCGTACACACTGGCTGTACATCCGGGACTTGTGCATGCGGTACCTGGGGAGAAGACATACAGAGAAAGGGAGTAAGGGAAGGTTTAACAATAAGCCGAGAGAAAACATCTTTGGTTGCCCTCCCCAACCCAGGTTCTCCAAAAAGAGCTCACTGTTTCTCTTGGTGGTGCTTTATTGATATGGAACAAGATTGTTCCTTTTTTTTTTTTTTTTTTTTTCCCCAAAATCCTGACATCCTGATAACTACTCATCTTCCCTGGCCAGGATACAGGTTAGCACATGGAATTTCCAGGTCCCTGTGCCCCTCCTATTTCCTGAGACAGACACAGGAAAACCTAACCAAATGAACACAATGGGCCAGGCACATGGTCTCCCTGACTACAGTTCTAATATTCCAGCTAAAGCCAGAACCAGAACTTGCCTCCCAGGTATCCCAACTAGGAGAATTTCTAGGAGATAAGGTTTAGAAATCAACTTAATGTAAGGACACTAGGATTCTCAAGTAACCACAGTAGTTTATCCTGTCAGTTCCCCTATATCTTGGTGTAAATGCCATCTCCCTTGCTAGAAATTTTATCACTTAAAAAAAAGTGAAGATTCCCCATATCCCTTCAAAAATGGGTTCCAATGCTTATCAAATCAGCAAGGAAGTGTTTCTGAATGTCCAGTCTAAATGTCTTCTGAAGGTAGCCTATTCCCTCATATACTAGTTATTCTTTATCAAAGTTTGGGAGTTGTGAACACATGTGGGCTGCTTTTATTATAGTGACTTGTCAATAGATCATCACATTATCACCTATAAATTATTTAGGGAAGTTGCCAAGGCTTGAACAGTTTCTCAGGGCAGGGAGGCAGGCAACCTCTCTGTTTTATGACTGGTCATGGCAAGCCTCTAAGAAGATACAGCATCTTCTTGCAAGTTGGCCTTCCTGATTTACAACATTTCAGAAATCGTGTGTGTGTGTGTGTGTGTGTGTGTGTGTGTGTGTGTGTGTGTGTGAGAGAGAGAGAGAGAGAGAGAGAGAGAAACTGATTTTGTATCTTGTAAAGAAAGGAAACAGAAGTCAACACCCACTTAAGCAGTGAGGAAAAAGACCTCCTGGATTAGGCTTGAAGGCTGTGCTTTGACATTTTGGTCCTCAAACCACTAGCTTTGTCCACAGGTTAAACAGCTCTGGTACTATTTGGGTGGAAGCCCAACACCCTATCTCAAGAGAGATCTGGGCTGGCCTAGAAGAAAATGGAAGGGGGAAGATGGTGTATTCAATTCAGGCTGGATACCAGCTACAAAGAGAAAGTGTTTAGATAGTATCACAAGTCAACTGACCAAAACAATGTTGCTCTAAGGCCCTTCACAGCCTAGAGAATTTTTTAGTAAGATCTGGTTGATCCTGGGACCTAACCCTACTGTACTTCTAAGCTTCTGTTGATGATAACACTATAGTATTTTTACCACTAAAATCATGGTCCAAATGTGCAAGATTGATGTAACACTGCTGCAGACCCCAGGGACAGAGGAATGTGGGGAAAAGAGAAGAAAAGGAGAAAGGCAAGAGAAGGAATTCAGAGGGGAAGGTAACAAGAAGGAGAAAGAACAAAAAGAGTAGGGAGAGAATTAATGGTAAGGAAAGAGAGAAGAGTGTGGAAGGCAGAAAAGGGGCAGGAATGGAATTTAGGAAGAGAGCAGAGGTAGATGAGAATAAACGACAGTGAGAAGAAGACATGACAATTGGAAAACACTGAGCACAGTGCTTCATAAATAGTCAGTGTTCAATAAATGACATGTAAGAAGGTGCCATTATGATGCTATTCTCCATTCTACAGATGATAAGACTGATGTTTAGAGAAGTTAAGTAATTTATTCAAGGTCACACAGCTAGGGTTCAAGCCCATTAACCTCATAACATGTGTTCTCCACAAATAGGGGAGGAGGAAAGAAGAAAGCAGGGCTTACAACAGGGTTTGGTGTCAAAGAGATCAGGAAATGGGTTGGCTCAGAGATCCTGTCTTACTGTTTGGGCTTCAGTTTCCATATTAGTATCTTGAGGAGGCTAGCAACAATTAGTGGCTTTCAGCTGAAGGGTACAGCCTCCCTACTGGGTGCTAGATATATATAGGGGAAATTTGGGCTGTTACAGTAACTGAAATCCTATTTGGTATTTCGTAGGCAGGTACCAGGGATGTTAAACATAACATATTCCAACATGCAAGAACATCCTACATCCTACACAATGAAAAATTATTCCTCTGAAAATGTCAACAGCATCCCAGTTGAGAAACATTGGTTTATGGGGCGCCCGGGTGGCTTAGTCGGTTAAGCGTCCGACTTTCGCTCAGGTCATGATCTCGCGGTTCGTGGGTTCAGGCCCCGCGTCGGGCTCTTTGCTGACTGCCAGCTCAGAGCCTGGAGCCTGTTTCAGTCTGTGACTCCCTCTCTCTCTGACCCTCCCCTGCTCACGCTGTCTCTCTCTCTCCTAGAAATAAATAAAAAGCATTAAAAAAAATTAAAAAAAAAGAAACATTGGTTTATATATTTACAGAGATTCTATGAGCTCTAACATAGTGCTTCCTATATGAGGAAGGGGGGCTTTGTTGTTTCAGGAGCCCCGAGGCTTGATGGACTTAGGACTCTGTCCCTGTGGTGCCTTCTGAAGAGACACATGTGAGTGGGCCAGAAAGCTGAGAAGGGGTGCCACATTACCTACACAGAGGCAGAAAAGGAAATGAGGATTTATAAAACAATAATTATCATTTGCAAAGGTTCAAGGACTCTAGATGGGGCAGGTTGTGCAGAAGCCCAGGGTATTAATTCAATCATTGGAGGGCAGCAGGAAGGTAGGGGTTAGAGTTAAACAAGAAGAGGACTTTTAAAGGCCTGCCCCAGAAGATGGCATCAAAGGTAACTCTTTGGAGATCTGTAAACCACTAAGCAGGTTGTGCCAAAAGCCCAATGGTTATTCTTAGCTTCTGGCTACCAGGGTTGGCTGGGTTGGAAGAGGGCAGCTGGGGATACTCATTTTCCCCCATATGGCCCTGCTGTACTGGAAGGAACCAGTAGCCTGTACATTTTATTTTAAGGCTCTTCTGGGTTAGAGGGCTGGAGGGGAAGGAAGGTCAACTCCTGCCCTGACCAAAAGGATTCTCTGTGGTGAGACTAGCTCAAGGTCCTTGGGAAGGTTATTTTTGGCCAGCTCCATGCACAATGCTAACAAGGGACCTCAAACAGCAGGCATAGAGAAGATTATCACAATTAGGAAAAGAGTATCAGAAAGACACTTCTCTTATTTCTTGCCTATTATTGGCCAGGCATTTTACATCCATTAGCTCCCATTTTAGTCATCATAACAAACCATTTAAGAAAGTTATATTTTATTAACAGACAAGGAAACTGAAGGTCAGAGAAGTTATTTCTTACCCAAAGACAGTGATGCAGGATGTTATAGAGCAGAGAGTTTAGCTGAGAAAAGTATAATTCCAAAATCTGGGCCCTTGGCCTAATTCATGAAGGATAAATAGAGCTAGTGGCAGGGCAAGCATTAATTAAACCTGTTTTAAAGAGAAGGGAAGTAGCTGGGCCAATGTTACATGTCCAGAGAATGGTGGAGCTGTTTCTCCTTGTCATCTACAAGGAGGCAGTATAGGAATTGTTATACAGACATACTTTGAATTCTGCCACCAACATGCCTTGGGTGAGTAACTTTATTCTGCTGAGCCTGAATTTCCCCATCTGTTTAAAAAAATACCATCTGTAAAAAGGGGAAATGAGGTTATCATGAGGGCTCAATGGGGAAGGATTTAGAAAGTGGCTGGTATAGGGCCACCTGGGTGGCTCAGTCGGTTAAGCGTCTGACTTCGGCTCAGGTCATGATCTCACGGTTCGTGGGTTTGAGCCCCGCGTTGGGCTCTGTGCTGGCAGCTAGCTCGGAGCCTGGAGCTGTTTCAGATTCTGTGTCTCCCTCTCTCTCTGCTCCTCCCCTGCTCATGCTGTCTCTCTCTCAGAAATAAACATTAAAAAAATTAAAAAATAAGAAAGTGCCTAGCATAGACTTGGCACAGAGGAGTTGCTCAACAAATGGTGAATGGCAGTAGCCCTCAGTGGTAGGAAAGGGACCACAGGAGCCATCTTCTACAACTAGAGTCCTTTGACAATTCCCTAGTTGTTTTACATTGAAGGAGAGGGCACTTGACTTGAGGTTGAGACAGTCTATAAAGCAGGTCAGAACCATGGCCAAAATACTAGGTTTTGGATGGGAAAGGAATGGCTCAGCACCAACCCCCACCCGTTGCTTCCCATTATGCGGCCTGTAACAAGGGCGAAGCCACCTCAGACTGGGCAGGCTGGCTGGAGCCTCTACTGCCTCACCTATAGGTCAAATGGGCCACCCCCTACCATTCCTCCCATTACCATCATCACCACCAATCAGGTCTGGCCCAGATGTTATATTTATGTGAGTTCTGGGCCCATGAGCACTTACTCATTGAAAACCAGGTCAGGGGCGAAGTAGAGCATCCTGGAGTTGACATTGGTGAAAGATCGCCAGCCCATGGCAAACACCATAAGTCCCATCCAGGAGTACTGAATGACTGCCATCTGGTCATCCACGTGCAAGTTGCGGAAGCCTGAAGATGGGGCAGAGGCAGTGGTCAGACTGGGCAATGATGGGCAGAGTGAAGTCCCAGCCATCTGCTGGGCTGAGAATTGCTGGAACTCAGATGGCTCCTGAGGAGCACTGGGGACCATCAATACTGAGGAAAAGGGGGAGAAGAAACTATATGGTGGGGATAATATTCTTTGCTTTCTACCTTACTGAGCTACTCATATGAGATGATGATGATGGAGGCAAAAAATGGTACTGTCAGTTGGAAGAGAATAATAATCTAACACTGCTTATAATGAGTGAACTCTTTTATGTTACTTATATTTATTCATTTAATCTTCACAACAATCCAATAAATTAGGTTCTATGAGTAGCTCCATCCTGTGAATTAGTAAAAATGAATCATGGAAAGATCAAGAAACTTGTCCAAGATTGTAAGGCTAGTGACTGGCAGACCACATTCCAAAGCCAAGCAGTCTGACTCCAAAGCCTGTGCTCTTGATTAGTATGCCTTTCTGAAGATGTGTAATAACAATTTCTCCTATATGAACAGCACTTTTCACCTTACAAATATCTTTTCCAGCTATAATATTATTTTCCCTTCTAACAATCCTGGGAAATGGATATTATTACATATCAGTATACGTTGGAATGCATTTGATACCCACTGCCTTCTCTATACCACCTTCAGGCTCTCTTTTCTCTGATCCTCTTTTGGATGCTCACTTCCTGTACACTGTTTTCTACTCAACAAGTAACCGGGCTCTGCTAGTTTCCTACTCTACCATTTCTGCCTACTATCATTATTATACACAAATAAGTTATTTATGACCTGCCTCCTTAGACTAATTTCTTGCCACTTATCTTTTCATAATTTAGGTTCTAGTTACAATGAAAAACTTAGTTTGCTGAACACATCATACTTTTTCATGCCTCTGTCTCTCTGATATCTCTGCACAGTCAGTTGCCTTTATCTAGAATGTATTCCTCCCTCCCTAGGCTTTCCATATGATAAATACCTATGCATCTTTCAAATTTTCACTGAATAGCTACTTCCTCTGTGAAGTCTTTTCTAACTTATCTAAGCAGAAGACTTAATAATTCTTCTTACACCTTCTTACTGAACTTTGTGTAGCTTCACCCAATTACAACACTTAATACACAGTATTGGAATTTACTTATGTACACACCTATCTCTTCCACAAGACTTGTAAGATTCTTGAAAACAGGAACCATCCCTATTTCATGTTTTCTCATTAGTACATTGCACAGTTCAGATAGTTGAGTACACATTTTTGAAATATTAATTTAATATTTATTATTTAATTTAATAGTAATTAAGAGGACTAAGGACTCCCATTTTTTTCATTTTATAAAATGGGAATCAGATGATCTCCAAATTATCTTCCTTAATCTCAGAGAACCGAAGCCACTAGATGCTACTTCCACAATACCACAGAGAGAGATCAAATGTAGCTATATTCTTCTGGAGGTTTTCAGACAGTTGGATGCTTAGAAAATCAACTCAGACCTCATCTCCTACTAGTATCTCAATTCTCTTTTCCCCAGAAGATCCAGAATTATCAGAAATTTTGTTTTGCTATACCTCATTAGGAATGCTTCCATTAATTTTGATACAGTTTCTAAGTTTCCTGTTGATGACCTCCTTTACCCTCACAATAACCCTAGAGAGCAGAAAATGTGACAATCATTTTGCTAACAAAGAATTTGAGGGCTAGAGAAGTTAACGGACTTCCCCAGGTCACGTAGTCTATGTGTGGCTGAATTGGGACTAGAATCTAGGTGTTCTAATTCTCTTCAGGGCTTTTTCCACTCTACTGCTGAAGGACACAGCTCAAGAACTACCAAGTTCATGAGCTTTTTGGAGCCATAGGCCAAGGTCTGAAGTGTACACTATCTAGACATGTTCTGCTTAGTTGATGCTTGCCTACCCCAAAACCCCATTTCCCCTCTCTTCTCCTCCCCTCCCCTCTCCTCCCCTTCCTTCCCTCTTTTCTTTCTCCTCTCCCCTCCCCTTCCATCTTCTCTCTCTCCTCTCCTCTATCTTCTCTGTTCCAAGCCTATCAGACATCACAGATTCTTGAGTCCTCATATCACCACCAATGCAGCTCAACTGATTGACTATAATCATAGCTCCCAGGCCTGAGCCTCCCATCTTCATTGTAGTGATACACTGACAGACTAGCTGAATCCTCAAACCCCAGAGTATTTCCAGACAGAAGTCACTTCTGTAGCACAGAACTTTTGGTATTGACTCTTCCTAGTAGGACACAAAAAGCAGAGATCGAGGATGGAACATCTCTTGGGGAAAGGGTCCAAGAGCTTGAAACCTGAGCCTCTGGAGTGGAAGTAAGCAACAACTTGGCTGCTGACTGTGTGAATAGGAAGATGTGTAAGGAGAATGAGGATTAAACTGTATAAGTACTAAGGAAGCTGTCAATACTGATGCATTTTTCACTCCTTGAGATGCCAGAGAGCTAACAAAAAGGAGAAAAAAGGGAAAGCTTAGTTTGACTGTAATACTAACTGTAATAACACTAATGGTCCTTACTGAGACCTGCTTATTAGCACTCAATCCTAATTACTGTGCATACATCAGCAACACAGCAGGCTAATCTTCCTATAGGTCTAATATGATTACAATATCTAACTCTGTTTTCTAAGGCCCAGTCTTTGAAGTTGCCTGCTCGGATAGCATGACTATTAAGTAAGGAATGACTTGAGGAAACAGTAGCTCCAGCCTCTAGGTTTCCTTCAGCATACCTTCACTTAACATCTCTTTGGTACTATGTTAGGCTATTCTGGAGAAATGAAGAGGAGTTATTCTCAGGTTTTGAAACATAGCAAACACATTAGGGAGCAGAGACAGCTTCACTGAGATTCTGTTTTCTTGATAAAATTTAGTCAATTATAATTTCTTAGCAATCTGTAGTGGAAGCCTATAGTCCCATGTCAAGTCTGGGAGAACATGTCCAAAGAAAGGCCAGCTGGGAAATCTTTGGTGCTCTAGTGCATTCAACAACTAAGGTCTTCAAATAAGATAATTCATCCCTGGGACCCGTGCAGGAGCTTCTAGGCAAGGCTGGTGGCAGCTTAAATTGATTTTAGTGAAAGCAGTGACTTTAGCATTCAAGCCTCATAATAGTGACCCATTATTTACACAGCATCTACTATTGCTTTAGCTACTGTACTAGGTCCTCTTTATATCTAATCACTAAATTTCAAGTTAGTTATTGTTCTACCATCTCTACAAATGAAAAAACAAAAGCACATGTAGACATGTGATTAGCTCAAGGTCACATAACTAGTATATAGCTAAGATTCCAAATCAGAAGCATCAGATTACAAATGTACTGAAAACAATCTACTCACGAATCCTCAATTGATAGTTATTATTTATTAAAGTCCAGGTACTATACTAGGCAATTTACTTATATAATCTCCATCACAGAAAACTTAAAATAACAAAATTTATTCGAGTAGATGCCTAGCACAGTGGCTCACACAGGACAGGAACTCAATCTGTTGAATGAGCAAATAACTAGAACTAGTAGGTAATTATCAATAATATGTATAACAAGAATTCTTTTTTTTTTGGATGACAATTAATCACAGAAATTCTTTTTTTTCCTTTTATTTTTATTTTTATTATTTTTAATAATCCTTTGATGTAACATACCTTATTTCTTTTTTTATTTTTTACAAATAGTTTATTGTCAAGTTGGTTTCCATATAACACCCAGTGCTCATCCCCACAAGTGCCCTCCTCCATGCCCTTCTCCCCTCCCCCCCACATCCATCAGTCCTCAGAGGCAAACCATGAGAGACTCTTGAATGCTGACAACAATTCTTATAAATGTGGTAATTAGATTATTTTGAAACTGCTATTTTAAATGACTCAGGGTCAGAGATCATTTCCTTGTATGAGCTATGGTGAACTGATACTGACTTGCAGACTTGTTAATGTTAAGGAGAGGGCTTCAGATTCTGGGGGTTGGACTGAGTAAAGCCAATGACTCCAAGTCATACAAATTCTGTCATAATTATTTGCACTAGGTTATTGTTAACACCACCCAATTAGGAATCAGGGAATGTGAGCCTAAATTCTGGCTCCAATTTGTTAAGTAACCAAATGGAATAAAGTTAGTTAACCTCTCTGAGCCTTGTCATTTAAAATGGAAATAGTAGCTCATATGCTTAACAGGACTGCTCTGATGATTAAGTGGAATCACATCTATGAGCAGCTTCTCTCTCCTATGAAATAGAATAATTTTGGTGGTTGGCAACAGCTAGGAAAGACTAAACTGATTTTTGTTACACACATGGTATCAAGACATTCAGCTGAATGAGTAATAAGAATTAAAAAAGTTTCTTATGCTGAGCAAAATAAGTCAAGCAGAGAAAGACAGATACCATATGCGTTCACTTATAAGTGGATCAGGAGAAGCCTAACAGAGGACCATGGGGGAGGAGAAGGGAAAAAATAGTTGGGGAGAGAGAGGGAGGCAAACCATGAGAGACTCTTGAATGCAGAAAACAAACTGAGGGCTGATGATGGTGGGGGAGAGGGGTAGGGGGATGATGGGCATGGGGAGGACACTTGTGGGGATAAGCACTGGGTGTTACATGGAAACCAACTTGGCAATAAACTATAAAAGAAAAAAAGAAAAAAACTATTGAAATATCAAAAAAAAGAAACTTTCTCTTTTATTCCTTTTTGTATTTTTTGCTCCCTTTGTCAACTCTCTGTTTTGGCACACACAGTGCATACACAACCGGAGTCCCTGGGTCTTCCCCCCAGTGATCTTATTGGCTAGTCGACCTCAGCTCTTCAAGCAGGTAAGGTGTATGACTGGGTCTTGTGAGTTAAAAAGACAAAATAGAGGCTTGATAGCCAACATGCAATATCTTCAAAGGCAGCATCCAGGTGGGCTTGGATGAGGCTTTAGCCCCTCCCTGTAAATCCCAGAGCTTCAGAACTACAGGGGCACTACACAGACTATGGGTAAAGTGGGATGAAGAGACTTGAAATCAGGAGGGGACTTGGGCTCAAGTTCTGCCCCTGTTACTTTCTGACTGTGTACCTGTAGGCCAAGCATGCCAGTTCTTAAAGCTTTAGTGTTTTTATCTATAAAATAGGAAAAAGAATCCCTACTTTATAGCATTGTTATGAAGGTCAAATCAGGTAATACAAATGAAACTGATCTATTCACCATAAATTTCCATCTGAATGGCAGTTGTTCTTAGAAAGCAGGTTAATCTTTGACTCCATAGCAAGTTAAGGTTGTCCATGTTTCAAAAGAATCTTTGAGTTATAGAATTTTGGGATAAAGAATCATTAAAGAGTTTATGCTTCATTTGTTTCCAAACTGTGTTCCTGAGGTTTCTCTCAATAGTGAGGGAGAGGCACTGGCTTTAAATCAAGTAGCTCTACTTGGACCTATATACAGTGTTTTAAGAAATAAAGAGTTTGGCTGCTAAAGGAGAGTTGTGAATGCTTGGATAAACAAACTCTGAGGTTTCTTCATATATTCTAATAATATTCTAATATTCTAATAATCAGACCTGTTCGAATTTCAGATGGCCTAGGTAGAAAGTGAGTTCCCCATCACTGGAGGTAACCAAGCAGAAGGTAGACAGATACTTTGTATTTCTTTCACTATCACCTAATATTTCCTCCCACTAGAATTCCTAAGGCAGTTTAAAGACCACTAAGAGTTTCTTGAGGCAAAATTTGAAAACCATCAATTTAGTCCAAACTACTCCTCACACAATATAGATGAAGAAACTGAGACCCAGAAAGGGAAGGGGTTACACAATGAGTTACCAGCACAGCTAAAATTAGAACCTAGGTGTTCTAACTCTCAATCCTTTCTTTCTACTATATCATATTAGAAGAGTAACTAAAGATAATATTGAAGACAAAGTATCAGTCAGGCTCAAAACTATCTTTGCAGGTGAGCCTATGTGTGCACACGTAGAAGAGTATCTTAAGGCATAAAAAGGTATGTCCACGTGATCTGTGATTATGGGAAATTTGCTGACCATGTATGTGGGTTGAACATGCAAACGTGATTGCTGTATGCTGATGTGAGGAATATGGGATACTCCATAATGCTGCTCTTCTCCTTGATTTATTAATTTTCCTTATTTTTAAAATGGAAATTATACCAATCTCTCCCCTCCATAGGATTATAGTGAGGACTGGATGAGTTAATTGGTAGGGAAGTTAACTGGTAAGGGCAATTCACTAAATATAATCTCCCTTATCCCAAGCCCCCACTTTCCATTTCCTTACCAGGCAGGGCCTTGGCCCACTTGACCACATGTACAAGTTGTCTTTCGCCCAATTCATTAAGGCTAGAGAGCAAGGCTGCAAAGGAGTCAGGCTGGTTGTTGTCATGTCCAGCACATACCACGCCTGGCTCAATGGCTTCCAGAACATTCAGAAAGATGGGCTGACACTCATAGCCTTCAATGTGTGACACAGTCAGCTTCTGGGTTGGCTCCTCAGTGGGGCTGGTGGCATTGGAAGTCTCCCCTTCCTCCTGTAGTTTCAGATTACCAAGTTTCTTCAGCTTCCGGGCTATTGGGAAGGAAAGGAAACTTGGATTTATTATCAATGGCCAAACACACAACTCAGCTACCCTGTTAGAAAAGTTGACTAAGCTAAGAAAATAAAGATGTTCATTCTCTCTGGTCACAGAATCTAAAGTCCATAAGGACAAGTGCTCAGTTTAAACACTGGTTGAATGAATGAATTATTCATCATTCCAAATTCCTACTAAACCCAAACTTTCTATATAATGGAATACTACATGGCAATAAGAAACAATGAAATCTGGCCATGTGTAGCAACATGGATGGACCTTGAGGGTGTTATGCTGAGTGAAATAAGGCAGGCAGAGAAGGACAAATATCATATGTTTGCATGTATAGGAGGATTAGGAGGAACTTAACTGAGGACCATGGGGGAGAAGAAGGGGGGAAATGGTGGGGGAGAGGGAGAGAGGCAAACCATGAGAGACTCTTGAATGCTGACAAAAACTGAGGACTGATGGATGTGGGGGAGGGGGGGATGGGCATGAAGGAGGGCACTTGTGGGGATGAGCACTGGGTGTTATATGGAAACCAACTTGACAATAAACTATTTTTTAAAACATAAAATAAACCCAAACTTTCATATCTTTCTTTCTCCTCAGTCCCACTCTGGGTTAATAAATGGGAATTTTCTCATGTTACAGCATTTCCTATTGAACACTATAACAGCTTCAGATATTGTCAAACATTACACCCATAGTTGAACATACACTGTTACATACATATTGATTTCCCTTTTTAGCAAAGGGAAGATTAGGAAGCTAAAGGGCTGAAATCCCCAGTATTATCCAAAAACTAACAGAATGTCCCTAACTCTATATTCCGTAAAATTGGAACCATACTAAGAGGCAGACATCAGAAAGGATGATAGAAATAGCAGTATTTAGGGGCGCCTGGGTGGCTTAGTCGGTTAAGCGTCCGACTTTCGCTTGGGTCATGATCTCGCGGTTCGTGGGTTCGGGCCCCGCGTCGGGCTCTGTGCTGACTGCCAGCTCAGAGCCTGGAGCCTGTTTCAGTCTGTGACTCCCTCTCTCTCTGACCCTCCCCTGCCCACGCTGTCTCTCTCTCTCTCTCTCTCTCTCTCTCTCCTAGAAATAAATAAAACATTAAAAAAAAACTTAAAAAAAAAAAAGAAATAGCAGTATTTAAAACAATAATCTCAAACTCAAACCTGAAGAGCCAACCTCCCCCTGTGCCTGCATACGCACAATTTATATAGAGGTCTTTGGGCATCCTGATGTTTATTTTGTGTTACTTTCCCTAGCATTTATACTGGCAGAAATGTAAATATTTGAAAAGGTCATATCTTTGAGGCCTAGGATAGGCAGTTGTACTGGGGAGAACCATAAACCACTTTATGTTTAATCCATTTAAAATAACAATAAGTAAAAAAAATAAAACAGAGAAGTTGATTGCTCAATTTAAATGGATAAATAGAACAAAACCTGTTTCTGTTGATATATTGTTGATATGTTTCTGGATCATATAGAATGATCTGGACTGACTTCTGGATATGACTTTCAGTGCTAATTAGAAAAATAAGTCTTGCAAAGTCCAATAATAGCGCAACTCAGTAAGTCAAAGCAAGAATGAATCAAATGTTTGGATCAACAAGTAGAATATAGGAGAAGTAAGTGGTGGGGTTAGTGGTGTAAGAGAAACACAGAGAACTTAGTGTAAAATAGCCGGCAAGAGTGCAAGATGACACTGTCCAGCAATCATTTCTGCAGGGCTTGCACAGTCAGTATTAAGGAGATATGCACACACACTGTCAACTCTCATCCCCCACCTCTACCAAGGGCACAGGATGGAAGGTATGGGTCCATCTTCTCTCAGATCTAGAGGCCTGGTCCCCAAAATATCTTATGTGGTGAACCAATTGATGACATGGGTTCTTGTAGGCATTTGCACACTTTAGCAGTGCCTCCTTGATCTGTTCCCTTGGTACAGTTAGTTTCTAAAGGTAGAAACTCTCATCACTAGCAGTTTCTGGCTTTGAGCTCAGGAGCTGCCAGACCATGTCTGCCCCATTCCATACTGAAAGAGGACAGAGATGTAATTAGCCCTATGCCTGAGGTAACTATGAAAAACAAAGGTAGCTATTTTTTCAGGGTCTTCTATGTGTCTCACTTCATGAACACATTACATCATTTAATTCCACATGATCTTAGGAAGTTAGCAGTATTTTCTACCCCTGTTTTATAAGTGAGTAAACTTAGGAAGCACAGCCATCAAGAAAGAGAACCCAATAACTTGAACCTGGCTTGCTGACTACAAAGATTATGCTCTTTCTACTGTATCATGCTGCTCCTCAAGGTCTCTGATGCCTGAACCCTACTTCTAGACAAACAGCAGAGTTGAGGAGGGGAGCTGGGCTTATATTCACTCTGACTTCCATCCTCACCCTTGACTCCAAACGTCAGTAATGAGTATCAAATCCAGAAGGGAAGAGGTAGGAAACTATGAAAACATTCCAGCCATGTGCCCAAAGTAGAAACAGGTTTTGGGGCAGTATAATAGCCTAAAAATTCACAGCATGACAAAGTAGGAAAGGCCAACAGAAATCATCTCATCCAGGAGTCACAGATTCAAAATACCTTCAGGGTCTACATAGGCAATGTAGTGGTGTGTGCTTGTCTGTGTGTGTATATGTGTGTGGGTGTGTGTATATAGGAGAATGGTAGGAACTTTAGTGAACTGGAATAGATAACTACTGGCTTTCCTGCCCCTGCCATGCACATGCATGAATATGCATGCACACACACATACACACAAACTTAGAAGGCATTTGTGTAACATTGAAAAATCTTCCTGGAACTCCTCTGTATTCCAAAGTTAAATTCAGGGCTTAACTACCATTCTGGGACTTCTGACATTAATTCAAATTTTCAAGTCAAAGATGTAGAGGCTGAATCCAGAAAGAATGATCATACTGGCAGAGCTAAGACTAAAACCAGGGCTTTTATTCCTGATCCAGAGTCCTCTGTGCCACATCTGCTCTCTTTTTGACTAACTTGTTTCTACTTTGTCACAGTACTTGCCTCTCTGAATTTCTTATAGATATGTATTGTCCAACACAGTAGCTAACCACATGTGGCTACATACATTTAAATTAATTAAAAGTAAATGAAATAAAAAATATAACTCCTTAGTCTCACTAGCTACATTTCAAGTGCTCAACAATACAGACATAGAATATTTTCATCATCCCAGATAGTTATATGGAATAATGCTGTGAATCTAGACTGTTCTCTGGGGCAGCTGTCTCATTTGTAAAGCCCTACTCATGCTATTGAGAAAGAAGAAAAGAATCTAAATAAATTTTATCCTGATGAGTCCATGAGCTTTTCTAAAAGGTACAGGGACAAAGCAATTGGTGCTAGTGCAATCAGTGAAGTACGCTCTATCACCTCGACTCTCCCACCAATGAATCAGATCTCAGTGGGGTGATGACTCGTGCACCTAAGTAAACACATTACAAGCAAGATCAATATGTGCAGAGATTGTGGGGAGAATCCATCAACATGAAATAATTCCCCTCCTCTACATAGTGCTAATGAGAACTTGGCTGGTATTTTCACATCCTCCTCCTCTAGACCTATATGGCATCTGCTTGAGGAAAAGAAGCTGCATTTCCACTTGCCTCTAAGATCTGGGTAATGTGCTGTTCCTGCAGCCACACTGGCCCAAGCTGCACCAGGTGTTCTGGCCTCTCTGCCTGAAGAGGGTGACTGTACTGAACGTAATTGAAATCAGATTCCATTCATTCTGCCAGGGGATCCTCTGTTCCCTTTCTGCAGCAGAGACCAGCATGTTGCTAGACAACTTGGAATGCTGGACAATGAGGCTTGCTAGTCTCAGCTGTTACCCAATGCCCAAGGCCTTGTTTTCTTCCATGAAGGTCACCCGCACACCCCTCCTCCCTCCTGCACCTGAGCCCCAGAGTCAGATCTAACTCTTTCCTGTGAGGTATAGGTCTTCCAACTCCTATTATGGCAGAGACCCATGAGTTTACGTAAATTGAGTGGTAAATCCAGGAGACAAGGGATAGTAAAGGTGGATAGTCTTAATGGAGTTTGTTGTTTTGCATCTCTTCCCTGTCTTTCAGTCTCAGGTCAGATCTGTGACAACAAAGGGCCACTGGAAAGTTACTTTCCTCTCCCCAACCTGCTCTGTAGGGGATTGGAGCACCTGATATGATGTCTGGATTATGCTGCCTGGATCCTATGGAGAACTCACTTTTCAGCCTGGTGATATTAGACTCTTATGAGGGCTGACTCTAATAGCACCAGAAAAAGATTTTTTGATTTCAGTTCTACAGTGCATCCCCAAGGGGAGGTAGATGTGATTAATGTGTAGCTTCCATAGCCACTGTGATCATTAGGTACTGTTCCAGCCTCATTCTTTGCCACCTCAAGACAAAGGCTTTCTTATCCATGAGCAGGGACAAGACAAGGTGAGGTTAAGTTCTCAATGTTTTAGAAAACTGGAATCACTCTCCCTAAAGTCAAGGATATTTCTCTTCTTCATACCTCACCATAAAATTTGGAGCATAAAAAATCACTTTCTGTGGTAGGCAGACTTCTGGGATGGCACCCAACAGTCCCAATACCTGGTTGTATACACATCTTCTTCCAGTTATTTAGTCAAACCCTAATCTACTTGTGTTTGTGAAAGGATTGGGTAGATGTAATTACGCTCAAAATTGAACTGAATTTGAAGGTTGGTTACCCTTGATGGGCTTGACCTAATCATATGAGCCCTTAAAAGAGACTGGGTTCTTTCTGGAAAGACATTCATGTAGTCAGGGGGCTTTTACATAAGGAAGAGTCTCTGTTGCTGGCTCTGAAGGTGGAGGGATCAACATGTCAAGGAAGAAGAACAGATTCTAGGTGCTCAGAGCAGGCTCTCTCTGGCTATTAGCCAGAAAGGAAAGGGGAACCTTTATTCTACAACTTCAAGGAACTAAATCGTGCCATAATCACA